GGTAACCGCATCATCCCGCGGCCGAGTGCGGCCTCCTGCGCTCCCTCACGAACCGGGGCAGCTCCCCCTGCCCCCTGCTGATGTCTCCTGTCGCAGCTGTGCGAAAGGAGTCGCCTCCAGAAAACAAGTCATGCCGTGAGGTTTCCTCAGTCTTGCCGTGTCCAGCAGACGCCTTCGCTGCCATGGGGAGCAGGTTGGCCCAGGCGGGCGCCGTCGAAGGTGCAAGGGGGGCCTCGACGGGGCCCACGAGTGAAGGGGGCCGTGCGGCAGGGGGGGGGTGGCGCCTACCGCAGGGCTGGGTGGGTAAAAAACTCTTCAGCAGTGAGAGCCCTTGTATGTTTTTAGGAGTGGCTCGTAAATGTTGCCCGTGTCTTCAAAATCAGTATTACCACACCCCGAAAACTCCTCCTTTACTTTGCTCCCTCCACCACGCCACGCTAGAGACCAAAGCAGAAGTTTGGGGTAGCTGTTGAGGCGCAAGGAGCACGGAGGGAGATGAGATAAAGCCCAGGGCATTGGCACGGCCTGCCTGCGCGGAGGCTTGGCCAACACGCGCACGGCAGCTTGGCTCTGCTCCTGGCATTTCCCAGCTAGGCAGCTCTCCATTCCCAACAGATTGGGTTTGAAAGGAGACATTTTATTTCCTGTGCCTGAAGGCTGTTTTTGCCGTGGCACTGCCATTCCTCGTGCACTAGTGGTGCTCTGGGTGCAGCTGCACCTCCTCCCTGCATGGGCCATGACACCCGTGTGCCGGGTCGGGAATAGGGGCTGGCACCGCCTCTCCTACCAGCCATCCCGGTGCGGAGGCCCGCTCCGGCCTGGCTACAGCAGCACTAACAGTGAGACACAGACAGGGCTTGCACAAAGGTTTTATGTTTCTCAGGCAGCCCCCGGCACCGGGTCCGGCAGGCGCTGCTGGGGGCACATCCCGCACCATGAGGAAGCGGGGGTGGGACAAGCTCTTCCTGAGATCCCGTCCCGGGCCGTGCTCCGCTCCGGGTGTGACACCTTCTCCCAGAGCGCCTTCCCGGCCATCAGAGATACCCCAGCTGTTCCTTGCACCTCTCCTCCCCATCCACTGGTTGAGTTCATAGCTTGTTCTTCTGTCCCATGGTTAAAAAATATATATTCTCATTTTACTTTTCATCCTCGTCTCCCTCGCTCATGCTGCTGAGGGAGGCGGAGGCAGCTTTTGGAGAGGAGGGAGGAGAGGCTTTATTGAAGAGCCAAGGAAAAGGTGGAGACGGAGAACGGGAGGGCGAGCGGCCTCGCGTCGGGCTGCTGGTTGGGCTCTGCCTTGGGGAGAAAGCCTGGAGCATCCGCCCGCTCCGCTCCTGGAACATCTGCTTCTGCAAAAGCAAAGGGAGAAG